TTTGTTGTGTGTGTGTGTGTGTGTGTGTGTGTGTATTGATTTTCACTTTACATACGAAGGCCAGTTTTACAAACAAAATAATGGGTTAGCGATGACCCCCCCCCTCTATTTACCTTTTATATAGTGACCTCTACGTGTCCGCTCTAGAAGAACTGTTTGGGAAAAAAAATTCACACACACACACACACACACACACACACACACACACACCAAGAGACCTGAAATGGGGTTAAGATACGTAGACGATATCTTCAGTATACAGCGACATAGGAAAGATACGTTACTTATTCATTGAATTCTTAAAGACATTAAGACCCAATGTCATAATTTTCACACATGAAATATAAACTAACAGTTGTCTTCCGTTTTTAGATATGAATGTAAAAACAGAAAATAACAATGTTACTACAAGTATATACAGGAACCCCCCCCCCCCATTCCGTCACCATGCCGCACTACCTGTTACAGAAAATATCCTCCTACTTCACCTACCTAAATCGTGCTATACAACTTTGCACCCACAAAGAAGACTTACTAACTGAATTAAACTACTTAAAGAATATAGCACTGTCGAGAGGTTTTAACCTAAACATCATAGATAGGGCTTGTACCAAACTTCAAAATAGTAAAAAAACATATGAACTTTAACCTTTCACCTATCAATAACATAAAACAAAGTTGTTTCATACTCATTTGTGTCAGAAATTGTTAATGATATTTCTAGCCTATTCAATAAGTTGAGCACTGATGTAAAAACAATATTCAAACCTTCACATAAAATCAACACCTTACTACTTAACCCGAAAGAATTCCTACTAAAGGAACAAAAAACAAGGCATATACCGTATCCCATGTGAATGTGGAAATAAATACCTAGGACACGCGTCACGTCCCTTAGAAATAAGACGCCAATAACACCATAAGTCACTTGCGTAGAGGTGAATTCCAAATATCCACTTTAACATATCATCATTATGAAATGGGTCACAAAATATTTTGGGATGAAATTCTTCTCCCACACCAACCCAAAACTATAAAAGAAAGAAACTATTTAGAAACTATAGAAATCACCAAAGTAAACGACTTCCCACTAAACCGTGATAATGGCCCTAGCAAAGTCAGCTGTATGTGGCAATGTCTATTCACCATTCACACATTTGACCAGGCTAGACCTTTACCAATATCCTGTCACTTGCTGACACCATTTCCGTCACATATATAATACATGTGTCTTTGTAACGATGTATAAACTATGTGTTGCTTAGTACTAATCATACTTGAGAAAGACAGACCAGTGTCCTGTTGAAACATGTAGTATGTTTCACAATCAATAAGATTCTTCCTTATCCTTATAGATCGTTGTTCTCCTATATGTTATTTATTCTTACTGGTTTGGGTGCTCTGAAGAAAAATGTAAAAGTGAGTTTCTATAATAATGGTTGAAACAATTGTCCTAGCATGGCGGATTGGTAATCCTAGAGTCCAAGGTTTGCGTCCACTTGCTTAAAACTCACCTTCCGCACATTGGACTCGTATGCGTTATAAGAGTGACAGTCAAATCCCACTATTCGTTTGGAGTAGATCAAGAATTGGCAGTGGATGCAGTTGACTAACTACTTTCAGTTTGGTCTATCAGTTTTAAATTAAGGATAGCTAGTGCAAATAACCTTTGTGTGGCTTTTCACGAAAGATTCAGAAGAAACTAAAATTTTCTTTTGAGATATTTTGAGGATAATTTGTCAGATTGTAAAGCGAGGTATTAGGATTTACAGATTTCACTTGATGTTTTTGTAAGCTAGATCTCAAAACGTAAAACAACAACAACAACAATAAAAAATAGCTTGCCCTTTTTTATATATATTCTTTCATCCTGCCCCTTTTATGTCTCTTAACCGTTTGTTTCTTTTTCAGCCACCAGGAGGCTAGAAGTAGCGGACATTAAAGAGAAATTTCCTAATAAAATACCGGTAAGTATTTTTCCCTATAGACATTTTATAGTTTAGTTTGCGGATGGCCTGATGAATCCAGTCAATGCACAATGGTTCCACAAATACTCTTGTCTCTGTATTAGTTTGTATTTTTCATTACTCTGTTTGTTGGAACAAACTAAAGTACTACTTGAGAATTAACAATGATCAAGTGTATAGTCTGTATATTATTTACGTGACACCACTTCATTAGCTGTTTTATATCAAAAGTATTGTTTGTGTATTGTTTACGTAACACCGCTCCATTAGCTATTTTATATCAAAAGCATTGTCTGCGTGTTGTTTACGTGACACCACTTCATTAGCTGTTGGCTATCAAAAGTGTAGTCTGTATATTGTTTACATGACACCGTTTCATTAGCTGTTGTCTATCAAAAGTATAATCTGTATATTGCTTAAAGAATTCTCTTTAAAACTTCATTGACACCAGGTAAAGGAATATTTTAAACGACAATTTTATTAATTGCTATAAATATGACTATCGACGTTATTCATGTTTGAGATTTGTTTTTCAAAAAAGTAAATTACAATGAAAGTAAGACTATTATTTACAATATCAATTAAATCTTTGGTTTATTCCTTGTCCAAGCTGTCTAAGGTCTTGAAGAATGGGTTCTAGCTAAAATGTTTTGGAACCCCCGAGTAGGCTATTATTTACAATATCAATTAAATCTTTGGTTTATTCCTTGTCCAAGCTGTCTAAGGTCTTGAAGAATGGGTTCTAGCTAAAATGTTTTGGAACCCCCGAGTTACATATTTAGGGGTATCCATAGCCACGCCCGCCGTGTCTTTAACTCTCACTCGTCTATTCATACGGCAAGTCTCGCGAGAGCTTTATACTGGAAGTTTTAAAAAAGTGGGAAATTACTGAGGTTTTGATGTCACGATGTATGTTAAAGGCACATGTAGTCTGAACTGATTAGCAATCATTTGATGAGCTGGCAACATTAAAACATACTTGATGGAATTACAATATATTGTAGAGTAGACTTGCTGTGTCGAGACACAACACTACAAGCACAACAAATGATGTTCTCAAAATTAGTCTTTTTCTTTATTAAAAATAATTTGTTCTGAATGTTTTTTAGAGAAAATTATCATTTCAGATTTTGCCATATAATTTTTGTCGTGTACATAAAGTTGTAAACCTGGATCTACAGTTTTTTATCTATATTTTAGCAGCAAAGAATCTGGTTACCTATGTAGATCTTTATTTCCTTATGTTTGATATGAAATGCATGTGTGAACAATGTGTAGATCTCTGTATACAAAATGGAACTTGTTGGCAGCTGTCAAACGGGTGCAATACAAATTTTGTTGGGTGTAGCTAAGCCTTTTAGTACATATAGATCTAAGTACAAATTTGAGAAGAAATTACTGAACATTGGCCAAAATTTGGGCACAAAGTTAGTAAGCTATTTTTATAGTGGTTTCAATTACAAGAAATTTTGGAACCAATGGAGTTGGTGTCATTTGGCACAATCTGAAGCCGTGTGATTGTCCGTTTTCACTGTAGTACGTATTATCTATCACCTAAGGGTTTGTATGGTGATGTTAAAACATGATGACTAACATTGTTCTTTTTAATTTCATACCTTAGGTTTAGTTATGATAAACACATATACAAAATTCTTTAGTTGCCTATAAAATTATATTTACAACATTCAGTATAATTACTTTTACTATCCAAAATATAGTAAAGTTCTCGTAACTGATCGAATGCATCTAATAACAAGGAAAGTATAGATGGCGTTCCAGGTCTTCCAAAGGCCAGTCTGTCTCAACATATTCACATCACATATTTCTTCCAAATTCCCTTCTTAATGCCGTCTAAGGGCCTATATGAAATCTAACCGTTTGCAAACTTCCTTACCAGAATTTAAGTTACCCCCTGTATTTCCTCTATACCACACGTACTAGCCTGTGGTCCCAATCCAGTACAGCATATCACATATTTCTTTCAAATTCCCTTCTTAATACCGTCTAAGGGCCTACATGAAATCTAACCGTTTGCAGACTTCCTTACCAGAATTTAAGTTACCCCTTGTATTTCCTCTATACCACACGTACTAGTCTGTGGTCCCAATCCAGTACAGCATAAAGCGTTTTCTAACAATAACATGGTCCATAATGATGCGACTCTAACACGTCCACTTGGTCAAATACATGTGTAACTTAAACTAGATCAGAATAGATTTAATGTGTACAATTTATAGAATATAAAGCCTGGCATTTATTAAAAGGTGATAGTATGTTTAATTACAAATACTGTTCATGTAAATAACATTGAACTAGAAGCACAATGGCTGAAACAAGTACATGTAACAAAAAATGGCCCTGTATTCATTGATATGTAAATATAAAAAAAAGAAATGACCAACATTTAAATAAATATTTAGTTTGTATAGTTTATATGTATTTGAAAAAATATTGCTTATACAGTTGCTAGATTAGATACCTTATTCTTTTCATTCCTATGATGTCCAATCCTGTTAAGAATGCTCTTCTCGTGGGAAAGGACCCATGGTTAGCTATAACTTTGTCGATATTACTTTTTATTTTTCCCCATAGAGGTACATGTGGTATGCATACAATTAAATTACAAGAAATTAACAATCAGCTAAATTATGCATATTTTTATCCATTTTGTAGAAATTCTGTATACATAAATTTTTAGAAAACGTTCTGTATATTTCCAACGCGTTTTAACAATTCGTCTATTGAAGTTGTTACGTTCACGTGGAGTATGATATTGCATAAACAATATTTACAATTAAAGTAAGCCTATTTCAAATCTAGCGGCTTTGACATTTGGCATTATCATCAAAACTAAATGAAATAGTTATTTACTTAGTTTTTAGTCCTCAAACTGTCTTTACTATAAGATACTGTACAAGTTAGGACTGATTTTTAGTTTTCTGTAAATAAACACTGATTGACGAATGTACTTGTAAATAAACAGTATATGTCTGTAAAATTAGGCTATCTTTTATTTACGCCTAAATAGGTAGCATATGGAGCATAAGGTTGTGGCGGTCACATTTACGTATACCGTGCCAAAAGTTATATTTCATTTAGCCCAAAGCTTCATCTTCTATTGAGACATGGCAGCCGTACCCATAGCCTTGGCCCATCATTATATGGCTCTCTTTAAACAAAATAAATTTTATGCAATGAAAATAGTAAAAACAAATAAATTAAAAGAGAACATGTGAATTTTTTCTTAAACTTGGGTAAGCTTGGAGGTTTATATATATAAGGTGTCCTAAAAGTCTGGAACCATAGGCACTTAAATGAATTTTACAGGATGCGTTCCCCATGCTGCCCTTGTATTTCGGAAGAAGTTTGGATTAACAGCAGGATTAACTCGACCGTCTCATGCTTTGACAGTGCCATACTCAGTCATGTATCTGAAATTAAGAAAAACTGTAAATAAATTATGGTTCCAAACTTTTCGGACATCCTGTATAAAATTACCAGTACATCTTGAGGTTTTATTCGTGGAGGTACTTTTCTCGCCTCCTCAGTAAACCAATTGAACTTGATTGCCAAACTTCGAGCTACTCGTACACTGGAAACTGTGAAAGCGAGGGGCATGGGGTGAAGGCGGTATCTCAAGATTGTGATCTTCTCATTCAGATGCTGTTACTATATTGTATGTCGTTATTCTAAAACGTTTTTCCCGCGTTTCCTTATCATTATTAACTTGCAAATTTCTATCAGAATATTAGCCTCTTAGTGGCTCAGCGGTAAGTCTGTAGGCTTATAACTCTTAAACAAACCTGATTTCGATACTCGTGGCGGGCACAGCACAAAATAGCCCAATGTGTTACTTTGCCCTTAACAACAAAGAAACAAAAAATTAAATTGATAACCAATTTCTGTTTTTGTTTTCAACTTAGCATTTCAACGGTTGATGTCGACATTTTTTTTTTTCACAAACCAGTACTACACAACTCCGTAAATCATAGTACATTAACCCTTTAATTTTATCACGTTTAACCCTTTTGACTATGACCTGAGGAGGCTATTTCTCGTGACACGTGTTGATCGACATATAGTCATCTTAGTGTGTTAATTTACTTCAGTACGTTTAAAAAAGAAAGAAAAATATTCAAGTAAACAGATTTTAGGATAGACGGTATACATCAAGCAACGAATAATTGTCGCCAGAACTTCCTAGACTGCTAAAGTAATTCTGGTTGGTTCACAGTCATTATCGAATTGATAAAACTTTATCGGCGTGAAAACTAATACTAGAAATATCTCTACACCTACCTTATCATAATGTTTAATGGTGTAAAACATCTTTACACCTTATCAAAAGGTTTGACGGTGTTAAAAATAACTGAAGATAAATTTTTTACACTCTTTCTAAAAGTTTGATGGTGTGAAAACTATAATATTGAAGGTAATTTATTTACACTTTAGCAAAAAAAGTCTGACGGTGTAAAAACAATACTGAAAACTGGCTGTTGCCTAATGTTTAGTGTGATGGACTGAAAAGCGAAACGAATGCTACTATTTAGTTTGACAGACTGAAACGCGGAACTTGATTCTGCTAGTGTTTAGTGTGATGGGCTGAAAATCGAAACGTAATTCTGCAGAAAGTATTCGGTACTTTCAGCTATGGGTGCGTTATAAGTGACAGGCAATCCCATTATTCAGTTCCAAGCCCTTGTAGCGGCTAACGTTGCTGATTGTTTGTCTTCCCTGTAGCCATTCGTTCAAAATTAAAGACGATTATACATAAACTCTATTGGGCTGTTTAGTCCGTTGCCACATATAGTGACGTTTAGATTGAAAACACTAGTACCTAATACTGAAAATAATCTTATTATCACATTATGAAAGAGTAATCTTCCGATGTTGCGGATCAAAATAGCTCTTCTCAAAGCAATTAGAATTCATTAAGAAAGAAAAAACTTGTCTGAAGGATAACCAGACGGAAATGATTATACACATTGGTTCAAGCTTCC